TCAAGAATCACTTTTTCTTACACTTATTGATTTTGGCAAAAAAATTCTAAATCTTCTTCAGGGGGGCATTGGTAAGAAAAGTGCTTCACGTACATAAGCACAGTCCACAGAAATGCAACAGAACACTCACATGCGGTGGGGTCCGCATATTTTTTTAATACACGGTGGGACCCACTGATTGTCTCTATTCTAGTGAAATTCTATGGATTTTTTTTCTGTGCTAATGGAATTCCCACCTTGGTAATGTAGCAAGGTTCTTGAATTTAAATTGAGGGTCCCATGAGCCATTGGTGGCAATTGGAGTTCTCTAATGTATGAATGTCAAATGTCTTAATTTTATTCATGAGTTATGCTATACAAACAGGCTCAATGACAGGGTTAAAAAATGGAGGATACGTGTTGATACATGATTAAACAGTTTGAAAAACACTCAAACAAGTGTTGCTATATAGTACCGTCACCCCACCCTGTCAATAACCCATGTTCAATGAGCATTATTTTTTATTCATTGTAGCTATCATTAATAATTTATACACGTTTTCAAATTTGTGTTATATTCCATAAAGAAATAAGTAAATGTACCTTCCCCGAATTTCCTTAACTCCAAGCATTTTTATCCTCTTATTCTTTCAATTACGATCTTCTCTCTTTTAACATGTTATGGAACAATAATGAAATTTTAGCGTTGTTACTTGATAGCACTGTTAATTACACCAATCACTCATCCTTCAATCATCATTTTAAGAAAAAACACATTAAAATAAATAGAAAATTTGAATGTGAACATAATATAGACATATTTAAAGTGAAGCAACAGTAAAAGAATCATTGCAAACTCTGTCACTCGTAAAATTAAGGGCATGTTTGAGTCCAATTTTTTTGTATAAAATGTATTTTTGAACAGTAGATTGATAGAGAATGTGTAGTTAAAAAATAAGATATTTTTTTGAATTTACGTGTAATATTATTTTATTGTATATGTGTGTAGTAGAAAAGAAGAGAGAGATATATGCATTTTGAAAAAAAATAAGGATAAAACAAGGGTAACTAATGAACTAAACTATTGACAAAAAATTGAAGTTCGAGTTTGAGCTTTGGCTTGATGAGTAAATAACAAAGTCCATTTTGGAATTAAATACAATTTGACTCTCACTATACAAAATATCTCTACTACATATATATTTTTTTAAGTAATTATTTACTGTGAAGTATTTTTTAGATCTCGATAAGAATACAAATAAATATAAGATATTCACCTAAGAAAACAGCAAGGGGTGGTGGCGCAGTTGGCTAGCGCGTAGGTCTCATAGCTGTAGAGTGATCCTGAGGTCGAGAGTTCGAGCCTCTCTCACCCCAATTTTTTTCATTATTTCCTTGTTGCATTTAATGGGTTATAAGCCAACGTCTCTTTCTCTCGGATTTTATTGCAAAAATCCCTAAATCATAGCATTACTCTTTGGAGAAATTGTCCAAAATCACTAGTGAACTTGAATCGAATTTCCCCCATACCATCACGTTCATGGCTTTCTTCATCTCCAAATCCCATTTTTTATTTCATAAATCATAACATGAAATTGAATTCCATACTGAAATTTTGCATTTCATGATTTTTCTGTTGGATACGTAATCCCTAATAGTGGTGAAAAATACTATATATAATATATATTTGAACATACATAAAAAATACTACATAACATACATAATAAAACCATAAATACTATCTCCAAAATTTACCCTTAAACAGTGCTAGATCCAAGTTTTGCGTTAGCTAGGACGGATCTTTAGCGTTGACCGTCGACAATCAGCGACCGTAATATCAAGGTCGTTTATTAATATGTAATTAAATAATATTAAAAATT